TCTTCTTCTTCTTCTTCTTCTTCTTCTTCTTCTTCTTCTTCTTCTTCTTCTTCTTCTTCTTCTTCTTCTTCTTCTTCTTCTTCTTCTTTTTCTTCTTCTTCTTTTTCTCCTTACAGCCTAGACAATTGTTTATTCGATGTTTGTACCTGAATCTTCTTATTTGCCTTTGTGGAGGTTCCTATGATTTTTCTAATAACCTACCACTTCACAATGACATTGATTGGTTCATATTGTTCTTCCTTTTATGGATTTTTACCGTTTTCTGCTTATAACCATATTTGTGTATATAAGCGTTAGTGTATTTTTGTGTCTCTCGTTGTCTAAGTTGCCTTGTCTCCATTTTGTCTAATCTTTACAAATTTCCCCTCTCCTACACACTATGTGATCTTTGTCTCTTTCAAGTGAACTTGGTCACTTTAACTGATTTTTCGTATTTCTCTGTTCTCAAATTATATTGTGTGTTTCCAATCGGACACATGGGGCACATAACGATTCTTCTTGTTTTTCTTCATTCTAATTGGTACTTTTTTTTTTTTTTCGGTTTTTCCTCTTACAAACCTACTTGTGAAAGAAAGGTAGACGTTTTCTCTGTCATAAACAGATCTTATACTATTTTCATTCCGTTTTTCATGACGTTTTGTAGGGACAACCATAAACAAAGATCTCATGTACATTTTTCATATTTGGTTGTGATCAAATCGTATTATATGTGGCATTGAAGAACTTTTGTTTCTCATGACTCTTTACTGAAGAAAAAAGATATTCTCTGATTATAATCATGCAATCTATGATCTTGGTGGAAATCTCATTCTTATTTAACAAGTCCTTTTTATCACAAAACACATTTGAAACTTTCACATTCTTAGTTTTTTGTTGAATCAAGATTCAAAGTCAGCATACAATAATCTTTGCCAACCTCAATACGTTTTTCTTACTTTCTGTTCCTCCGTATGTAATCTTATAGTGTGCTTTTAGTCTTCACTCACATGTATTATTCTCATTTTAAGGCAGAAGTGAATTCTTCCTGCTTCTTAGCAAGGTATGAATCCCTCGCAGGCCGGGCCTAGCTCGATGTCTTTAGGCCCTGCCCAACAACAACAACATCTTCAGGTTTCGTCAGAAGTTCATTTTTTCAATTAATTTTTTTTTCAGGCTCAGCTAATTAATGCTCTTTTTGCAAATCCAAGTTTGCTTAGTAGCTTAACGAATCAATCTCATGTATGTCGCTTTCTCATTACTTCAATTACTCTTCTTGTTCAGAATTCTGTACTATCCATACCCACTGTAAGTAGTATCGCTCAACATACTCAAAGTGTTCCTGAACAAAACACTCAACAGTTACCTCAAATATTGCAACCTCAAGCTATTCCTCAACAACCTTCATCCCTAAGCTGGCCGGTTTCAAGTTTTCCTCCTTTGGTTCAAGTACCTTTCTTTGACCCTATTCAGTACAGAGTACGCTTCTTTTATTTTGCTCCAAACAACATTGTTTTTTTCTGTAGAATGTTAACACAGTGGATGTATCACCCAGCGCTGATCCTTCAGGTATGGATCTCCCTCTCAACGATATTGTCACATTAAGGTGAGCTATTGGTAACTGCGCTTCTTTTAAGACTCTCCAGGTTTTATTTCAATATTGGCGTTCAAATTGCCAAGCAGGTTTTAACTTCTCAAGTTTTGAAAGACCAGCAAGGACAAGTTATCAATTCTATCCCCACTGCTCAGAGTATTCAGAACCAGCAAGTGCTTAAAGGAAATACCGTTCCCAATCAGCTTGCCAACCTCAACATTGTAAGATGTCTCTTAAAAACGTCTAGTTATTTCCCTTTTAAAGTTAACTGGTGCTCCGAATATTCCTAATGTAGGATTGGAGCAGCTTCATGCATTGGGCGTTCTTCCAAGTGTTTTCAGGTTAGTGATTCCTTTGAAATTGTTTCATTTCTTGTCCTTGCAGACAATTACAACCTCAACCGGCTCAGCAACAGCATCATCAGTTATTACAAGCCCAAATGCTCGCTGCTGCGCGAAATTCTAGTCAAGTATGTATCTATTTTTTTATCTTGAGTAACATTACAATAAGGTCACAATTGGAAATCAACCGAATGATTTAAATGTTTTTGGGCAAGCTGGTAATTTGGTTCGTTCTTTAGCTTCACCTTCATACTAAACGGTTCAATTTCAGTTAGTGAGGCAGCAGCAGGCTCAGTCTGGAAATCCTAGTGCTTTATCTAGTCATTCTTCTTCGGCGAAAAATTCCATTACTGGTTCAGCACCTGACCAAGTCCTTCTTCATCAGGCTCTCATTGCTGTTTCTCGTACCTGTGAGTTACTTTTTATGATGAAATTTTCAGTTTATATCTTTTTCAGCTCCGAAACCATCAACATCGTTACATGAAGTTAGGATACAACAACTACTCCAACAACAGCAACAGGCTCAGCAAGCCCAGGCGCAACAAGCTCAACAAGTTCAACAAGCGCAGCAGGCTCAGCAAGCTCAACATCATCAACAGCACCTCCAACAACTTCAGTCTAACAGCACACAGTATCCTGTAGGAATATCTGGAGATGGATTGATGAGAACCATGGATGTTGCAAACGTATGTTTTTTTCAAGTCGATGTAGTGGTTGTGACCTCACATGAACTAGCTTTTTTGCTCAAATTTGAACATAAAGAATTCTACCTAGTTTATCTATAGGTAGTAAAACCTATGGCTGTTGGGGGAGGCTCTGGAGAGGCAGCCATTTCACCCCGTCCTCCTATTCCTATTGACCCTTCTCCACCTCGCAACATCGAGACGACTCGACATCAACAGGTTCAACCTATTGTATGCATTTTGTGATACAAAACACTTGTTTTTTGAAAACCTAAGATTCTCAGTTACTTATGCTGCACTTCTTGATGCGCTTTGTTTTTGTAAAGAGAGAAAGAAGAGATTTGCGAGCGAAAAGTAGTTCTATAAAAACTTGTTCAATCAATATCTTTCAGGCTCAAACCTCCCCTCCTGCTTCCTCCCAGAATGAAAGTATGCGGCCAAAAGAAGTAGTTGTTGGAGTTAATCGCTCCAAATTAATCGATGTTGCTTCTTCAAAAGATGGTCCGCTTGCTAGCACTAGCAGAGCTCCTTTTGTAAGGACACTTTTTGTTTCGTTCAAAGTTCTATCCATCCAGGCCGCACAAACAATTTCTTCTGCGTATGGAGGAGACGATAGCAACACTCCTTCTCATTTATTCCAAATCTCTGAACGTCATTTCACAGAAGCTTTTCATAATAGGGCGTACGTTTGCTTGTTTTTATCTTCAGAAAGTCTGATTCTTTAGAGCTTCCAATCCAATCGGGATAGCACGAAATGCAGATTCGAAAGCAAATGGTACGTTAGAGTCGTATTTGGTTTCATTCCTCTGTACTTTAGAAGATGGTAGTCGATCTGCTCCTTCTATTTCTATTGCTACTCCATCGTCACAAACTGCAGACAGACAAGGTGACGGGGATAATAGACCAGCAGTAAGTGAGAAGTAAGCTCCACTATTCTATATGAAGTTAAAGCTTGCCCCTGCCTTGATGATGTCCTTTTTAAACAGCTGTATGCGAGGTATTAAATCACAACTGAGTACTAATGGGCTACCAGTAAATGTGGATTCGCACGGCCAACCAGTAAGTATAACCTCTCGTTACAAGAATGTACAATAATTTTCTTGAAGGTTGATTTCTCATCAAGACCTATTGATCCAATATTCCAACGAGCTCGTCAACAGTTGGATGAAACAAGAGAGTTCAAGGACCCGGAAAAAACTCTGAAAGGTTTGTTAGTGACCTTCTAATTAACAAATCGTTTTGTTTTAAGTCGAAGCAACGGGTACGCCATCACCCTCTCCATCAAGAGCAGACTCTCAATCAATAGAAGCGACAGTTCCGTCATCTACTGCCACGAGTTCTCCTGGACCTGAGACTCCCGATAATTCTGCAAAAGAACGAAAAACAGAATCTCTAAGTCACGACGAGAGTAGCGATGATGAACCAGGCTCGAAACGATTACGAATCGCAACAGAAGAAGAATGACGACAAATTTGGAAGAGCTCAAAAGATAATTATTCTTTAAAAATATATTTGAAGTTAAATAAGTATTCATATCATATAATGATCTATATCGAATTTGATCCCAAAATTCAGTTTCTAGTTAGCTTTGTTGCCGTTTTTAGTGACCCTTCAGTTTTTGAACAGAACAGTCTTTCCAATGCCATGCTGATATGAGACCTCAGAAAGGTCGAATCTACTGTGTTGTTTGTATGTGAATTAGTATTTATTAGTTATCAACTTTGTTTTTGTTTTGCATGATTTCTAGGCTTGTTGTCCAACGCATTCCTTTCCATCCTCTTCTTGTTGTGGTTATTTACAACAATTATATTTATAGATTAATCAAACACGGAGAATTTACTAATTTAAAACTTTCGTATATTCTAAGAAGCTTATCTTTATTATTATTTCGATAAATTGATATAAATTACTTTCGCCTTATTGTCCTTGCATTCGTCCGCAGTAGTAATACTGATATGAGTATCCCAGTTCTCCACAGTTACATAAAAACCTTCGTTTGCCATCGTGAACATCGATGAATCTTGCTTCTGAATAGGAAAAAGATGAACAAATTGGTCATTTGTTTATATTTCATACCACAGCCCATATTAGCTGATGGATCGATTTCTCCTTGAACCTGATAGTTATAGCTTGTTCCACTGTTGGGATTCATGTAGTAATATGGGGTTTGTCCATATCCCTGACTGCTATATACACCTGATGAACCATAGGGTTGTTGAACTCCATAAGCTGTTTGAGCATCGTAGGTTCCTTGATTTCCGTAATATACTGTTTGATCTGCATAAGTTTGTGAGCTTGTGTCCTGACCGAAGATAGTGCCATCCATTACATCGCTTGTAAAGTCCATAAAATTGGCAACTGCAATTCTTTCATATCGTTTGCGTTTTTTTGATGTTTAATCTTTTTTTCGATTCGTTATTGATGAGCAGAATGTCAATGAATTTTTGAATGAGCTGATAGTGTAGAGAGCATAGAACAGGAAAGCTATTTTCGCTGTTTTCAGTATGAGAAGGATCGCATTTGTCTCATCTTGTACGATTTAGCTCATGATGTCTTTTAATCTCATCTAATCAGAAAAAAAGAATAAATGAGAAGTCGCGAAAAGACGATGAATCCTATTGTTTTTTATAGATGGATAACTTCAAGATATTCGATATTCGGAGGGAATGAGCATCTACTAAGTATAATAGTCATAGGAAAGAACTGACAGAAGAGAACAATATCATTATAGATTTACAAACTTTGGTAAGCTCGAGTGGTTAGTTTTTCGAAAATTCTTACTGTCGCTTGCCGTGTTGAGAGTATCACCAAATCCTCCGCCACCAGCTGCGACATTGTTTCGATTATCATCTAAGTTGAATAGAATGCGATATTTACTAGCTGAAACTTACTGTTGAGCAGTGCGGTTGGTACGAGAGCAATGATAGCTGATGACGGAACGAAAATTGAAGAATTAAGTAATAGTAAAAAAACTCTCGCGAACATAGCTGCTGAAAGATAGGAATGGTAGATTGACTGTTAGCCCTTCCTTTTAAAACTAATTACTAAACCTGAGACCAAACCGAGTTCCGCGATAAGCGATTGTTAGAACCTAATTTACGACATATATTTTCAGTTTTTAGTACAGTTAGTATATAATTCTTGCTATAGTCTCGAACGAATTTTGGCAAACCGCAATGTTATTCGTCGAACAACCGTTATTCCGTTATCTCAGTATCTTTTGTAAGCCAGTTTGGAACTAAGTCGCTTAACATTTATTCAGATGAAAAGTGTACAGCTCGAATTTACAAGAGGATCCCGTATCCATATTTATGTGATCAATGCGAAGTGGTCATCACTGATAGTCGTGTACACATGGCCTTCTGTAGCCAAGAACTCCAGATCGGCGCGAATAGAGTCTACATTCGGTGCTCTTAACTTCTGGAGCATTTCGGCAATTACATAAATAATAAATACCATTGGCCAACCTGTCTGATTTCCTCAACTGTGAAGCCATGCTCACCATAACTTCCTTGCTCAGCTTCCAGTAAACGAACAATCTGAAATTATTCCGTTTGTTTCAAGTTCGAACAAACTTACAGAGGCTTTCTGTCCCTGCAATCCGTTAGCTGCAGCAATTGAATTTTTATCGGAATCATTCTGTTGCTGATTAGCGTTTGGATACAATCTGTTGGGCTCAGCTTTCGTATGTGAGTTCTACAACTTCCAAATTAGAACCAATTATTCAGTGTCAAAACCTGGCCAATAGCACGCTGCGCTGCATTTGCTGGAACTCCAATACAAGTTCCCTCCAACAGTATTTCCCTGAGGGCCAACTTATTAGGAACGTTCTATACATAAAACAATACTAATGAATGTGGCAATATGTCGTTACCTTTGCAAAGAACAATTTAGCAAGTTTAGCCTCGAGAAGGTAAGCCTCATACTCTTTGTCATCAGTAATTTCTTTAATATCATACGCGATAAGCGCTATAATCATGATTCGTAAAGAAATTCTATCAATCACCTACAGAACTCGTCAGAAAGAGAACGCAGCTTTCCAAGGGCCATCATTCGTGTTCCTTCAACGAAAGACTGAAGATCCTTTCTGCTATCATTGAGCTAAATTTTTGATACAAAAAGTTTGTTCATTGTTTCTTACTCCTGTGTACATTACAACTTTAAAACAAGTTTGTTCATCTTCTATATCAATTAAATCATAAGAAATGCTGTGCTCATTTCCAGTTTCCAATCGTTCTACTCTTCCAATTATAAGAGCCTTAATTTCACTATAATTACGCAGACGAATTTGCTCTCTACCGTTCCGAAGCCGTAATCTCCCAGAGTATACTTTTCATCGTTAGGAGTGAAACCCCGTAAATCTTGAATAGTAACAGGAATGGGAAGACGGTCCGAAACTTTACGCATTTCTGAGTCCTTAGGCGCTATAAAGTCGAGATAAAATACAAAATTTATCTATGCATAAGTTATACCTTGCGTCGCAAAAGATGCATCGCCTCCCCACCCTGCGTCAGCTCCTGAAAACGATTCGTTCCACATTCTAAAAGTTCACTTATAAACTTGGACTGATCATGGAATTTTATCATACATAAAAAAATAATTATATATTCTATAGATGGAGCTCTGGGAACGGATTCTTCATGTTCGAGTTCGTTCGTTCGCGCCAAACACAAAATTCGCATTGGAGCGTCATTTAAACCTGATATCAGTTTCGTTGTTGAAGACCAAATGGAATCGCGTACGAAATTTTGCCGAATTATGCGGATGAGTGATGTATCTCGAGAAAATTGACTTACTATGTCTAAATTTTTTCCCATTTGTTGATAAATTGAGGCTTGTCTCACGCCGTAAAGTTATGATTGCTTACAACAAATAATTTTGACACCAAAATCAAAACAACGGAGTAGGGGTGGGGGAAAAATCCTTTTTTCATATTTCAAAGTATTTTCTGCTTCCCTTCAAGAATTTTTTTTTATTTTTCTCTTGTTTCCGTGGATACCGGAGCATGTGGCGTTTGGCATTTTAAAGCTCCACCCAGCTGGAAGCTTTCTATTGAGGCAGCCCTAGTCAGGCAGCCAGTTTTGAACAGCGCAACTAGTGGTGTAGAATGGTAAGTAACTTTTTTACTTTGTTTGATTGCTAAGCCCATTCTAAGTATTTTTTTGTATAACTCAACTTGATCCAACATCTTTCTTGAGGAAGTAGATTAACAAAATTTTTTTTATATTTTTTTTATTCTCTCTCATAGCATTTTTTAAAAATCATGTTCGAGATTAAGCAAAACGCTTCTCCAATTATTATAATAGCGATATTTTTGAAAAATTTGGAGATATCTCTCTTTTGAATGACAGCAAAAAGGAAATTAAAATTGAAAACTTTCAAATTGATTAACATGCTCGGAATTTTGAGGATAATTTATCGAGAGGACCACCTCGTGCTACACGTCCCGCTCCAACTGTTTTTTGTTACATTTGTGGGAGGCAGTTCGGTTCTAAAAGCATCAGTATGATCAGCTTATTGTCAGCTTTTATTGCTTTCCGTTCAGGTATTCACGAACCACAGTGCTTACAAAAATGGCAGTTAGAGAACGAAAAGCTCCCAAAATCTAAAAGAAGAGCGCTACCGGTTAAGCCGGATGTCATACTCGCTTCTGGTATTTCAGTAAGAAACTGCTTTTTTTTAATTAACTATTCAGATGGAATGACCATTGATAAGGAAGCTACGAATGAAGTTCTATGGAAAAATTCGCAGGGGCTCATGGTAGATTGTGAACATTGTGGTCGTCGTTTCAAAGTAAGATTAAAATTCCAGTTCTCTGCCCGGGGCCAACCCAAGTAATTTCATTTTAGGAGGATAGACTTGAAGTTCATCAAAGGAGCTGTACAGCAGATAGTCCCGCAAAGAAAGTTGGAGCTGCACGCTCGAACTCTAAGACAAAGCGTCGTTAGTTTGCTTGAGAAGAGTACTGAGCTTACCTAAGTGTGTTTTTTATTTGAAACTATCTGAAAATGCAACAGGGACACACTTTGTGGGTTTTTCCAAAAGCTCGATACATTGTAATTCATATAAGAATTGACTTCGATCATACTAATCTCTCTGTATAATAAACCTCTGGTATGTGTAATACACATTGTGTATATATTGAGATCATTTATTCTGTTCTTGCTCTTATATTGGTGTTGAAAAAACATTAACCACGACTAAGTATTCCTAGAAAGTTTCCTCTCTCTCAAGAATGGTTGTTGTTAGTTTCTTTGTTGATTTTTTTCCGTTACTCCTTATTTGCTTTTTTTTGGAGCAGTTCGCAAATAGTTGAGAAACTTCTAGCAATCAAAGCAGGACTAGTATTTGTAATCCCAAGTATGATGTAGGATTTGATTGCTGTGATGAAAAATTGTTGTAGAACACCTATGGTTATCCTATTGAGTCTGGAATATTTACTTATCTTCATAACTCAAAAAGTTTCAGCGAATTTTGCTCTAAAACATTTCTTTAACGTTATAGGGTTCGTTGTAGTGTGTAGTGTATTACGATGAGGGAGACGGGGTTTATAACTACAGAACGTTTCAATGGTACCTAAACTGTTTATATTTTCGTTTACGCTATCTAAAATTTTCCAACCAGTACCACTCGAACATTTTTTGAAAGTTTGTTCTGGTATTGAACTCCTTAGTTCTGTCATAATTCAATGAAATCTCTGACTGGATGTATCATTTCTCTCAAAAGAACTAAAATTAAACTATTTTCATATGAAACTTGACTCTTATCAAGGATTGAGTTATGGGACCCCCGCTATTTTCGCACTCACACTATACTATATGAATAATGAATTTATTTATTTATACTTATTCGCTCATAAACTTGTATTATTATAATTTTTTGTTTTCGTTATAAAAATTAAGATAAAAATTAAGAAACGAGCTAGCAAAATGCCAACATATCCCTAAGATAACGAAGTCTCTATCATCGAGTCTCTATTGACTGTTTAGTTTTGCAATAAACATAGAAAGTCTTTCAAAACTTCTACATGATTATCAATCTATTACGTATTCTTTCACATTATCCGCTTTCTAACGCTTTTACTGTTACGTCACAATACTAAATGATGAAAATCATGGCTTCATTTCTGCTCGAAAACATTAATTTCTGGATTTTTGGACAAGTTTTATCCCGCAAGTGGGAAGTGAACGTTCGTTTTTCATTCACCCATATAAGTTGTGGGCGTAGTTCAATGATTTAACTCAACCAGCAGCTTTTAGTGAAAACTTGATAACGCCCGTTAAACCTAACTGATTAAAGAATTTCGGTTTTCATTCACGCTTTTGCTGTTTCTCCTTTCTTCAATTTTAATTTGTTCCTTCCGCTGTTTTTTTCGTTGCAAATTTTCATTTTTCGAACTGCAACACATACGATATTGTGATTGGATGACTTGCTTGTTTTTTTCTCTTCTGCAGTTTTTAGCAATTATTCTAACAAATATACAGCAGATTTCTCAACTTGAATAAAGTATTTTTTTACTATTTTTTGGTATTTCGGTAGTTCGTCAAGTTCGGGCTGTTGATCTCTATGCTGAAGGGTGATGTTTGATTTTTGAAAAAGATCAGATGGTATTAAGCTATGTGTGTTTGTTTCGTAAGAAATTGTTAGAGATATTCCATAATATTTTTTATTCGTAACGAATTTATCCATTGTTAGCCTTTTCTCGAAAGTTCTCTCCAATCATTATTTTGTACCTTTCCTTTACCGTTTCAAATCAGTTCAATCTCATTGATTTACAATCGACTATTTCTTTTTTTCATTTTCCCTCTTTTTTTTTTAATTCAATTTCTTTCCAAAAAAAATTCTCGGTTGTGCATGTGCAAATCACTTGAAGCAACTTCCATTAAAACCTTCAAAAACTTTCTCACTTTTTCTTTTGTTTTACTCTTAACATTTTCTCCTAGTTATTAGTATGATAGCTTTGTTTGGTCCTTCACTCTGTCTTCTGTTTGTTTCGTATCCCAGAATTAAGGTAATGATGTTCAATGTTTCAGCTTGATCAGACAAAAACCTTAAAATCATGACATCAGATAGCTTAACAGTTTTAAGCATATTGACAGACAGTTTTGGTCTTCGAACATAATTAGAAAAAAACCTTTTTATAGTTTAATTTTTGTATTTTGGTTTTGGGCGGAGGTACTTCCCACTTTCGTAACGGGTTTAGGTAGTGCTTAGACACTTGTTTACCCAACTAGTTTTATTCTTTCAAAAAGTATTGTGAAAGTTGTACAGAAGGATTTCTGACTCGGAAGGGAAATTTTCGCCTTTGCTTCTGTACCTCTCGAGTACTTGATTTTTTGAGCCGAGAGGTGGCGTTGTGATGATATTTTCTAACTCATCAAATTCTCTGAAGCTTGTTGTAAGCTTTTAAAAAGTGTTTGGCATTTTGGCCGTCGTCATCTCTGGCTTGCGAGCGGTTAAGATTTTTTCCTTCACTTCCTTTTCTGAGAACCTCCAGAGAGAAAGGGGAGTGTAGCTCACCGGCTCACAATACCAACTGATATGATTCGGAAGCTCCGCGGCTTATATACCCTCGCAAGAACACGTCACGATCAGAGATTAGAATTGAACTCTAAACTCGGTTCTGAAGTCCATTTTTGGTTATGATAATAAAATTGTAGCGAAAACTAGTCAGATTATCTTTTAAATCTTATTGAAAGCCTAGTTCATAGAACATTCGGTTAACCGACTCACAACGCCTGCTCTTTTGCGAATTTTTTTTTCGAAATACTGAATTAATAGAACAAAAACATTTATTCTCGTCTATTATCTAGTTATTTCTGAGCTCACAGTGATCTTAAGCTTTTTTGTCATACAAACGCTTGTCTATGCTTTTTGCCGTACGTAACTTTCAATCTGACCCATAAAATGATTCTTGTTGTTGATTATCAACATCAATACTTTTTGTAGTTCGTTTTTGTAGTTTCACCGAGCTGCCCTTCCTCTGTCCTTGTTGATTTCCTGTATTTCTTATATCTTTCTAGACTTACAGGTTATCGATTGATTTCTGGGAAGTTCCCACGCTATTGTTCCAATGTCTGCTCTTAACCACATACTTACTTACTTATATAGTTAAGTTCTCAATAGATTTTGAAATTTCTTATTTCGTTCCCAGCAGACCATTGTGGAATCGTAGTTGAGAAGATTCTCTTAACGGCAGCCTCGTTGCCTAGCTTCTCTTCTTTACTTTTCGCAATTGTTTTTTACTTGCTGATAGCACCCTCATATCTTATAATTTCTTATCTAACATATACCCGTTATGCTCTTCGTCAATCTTTTCCGTCATGGATTTTCATTCCAACTACTCAGGTTTGGATTCTTTTGGGGTGGTACCATCCCTCCCTCTCTAGTTGATTCTCTATTCCCCATTGTCCGAGGTAGTTTCTTAGGTGAATCTCTACCTCGTGTAAACTGAATCCGAGCCCCCAACGTCTGTGATAGTTCCAACAGGAATCGTTTCATCAATGTTCGAATAAACTGACAAGGATTTTGTCATGCTTTTCATGATTTTCTTTGCCGTTTTTGAACAGTTCTAGTGAAGAAAAGATGTTTTATTTTTTGTAAAAATGACGGACTCGGCTGTTTTGTTGTCAACAGGAGTTCAACTGAGTTCTCATAGCTCGTCTCCATCTCATTTGTTGTTATAAGATTTTGCTTTTCTGATATTTAGTCAAACATGTCTCCTCCTGAGGTCACATCCAGCAGAAAAAATTTCTGTTGCTGGAGCACCTGCATATCCTTGCAGTGTCCCTCCCCTGATTTCAACTTTGTTGCCCATTTTCTTATTGTTTCCTTGCGTCGTCGTATTTTTTCGACTTTTTTTCATTAGTTGTCATTCCTTCTTCTATTCAATATCCCTCCTCTTCTTTTTGGATTTGTTTTCTTATTCGCTTGTTCTACTTTCGTAGTGTCAGCGTCCGTTATGCGATATCCAATATTGGGTGCATTGGAGATTTAAACGACCTATAAGGATGATTAAAGTCATTGTCAGTTCTCTGCCGCTTGATTCTTCAACCCATATTCTCCATTTTTATCTATTCAGCCGATATCGTCTTTATTTTGAATTTTGGTAATTGGTTAGAGAGGGTGCTATGCAGCTCAGAGGGGTTGATGACAATGGAAAGCATGGAATTGAAAATAGGAAAGAATACAAAGATTTCAGATTGGTCCGAAGCAGAAGAAGCAGAGGTCAGGTAAGTTTAAATCCAAAAAGCTCAAAAAAGAGAGGGGTCATGCCAAATTTTTTTTTAATTTTCTCCAAAATTTTCTAAAACCCAACCGCCCTTTGCCAGACTCTTTTACAGCACCGCCTCAGCCCTTCCGATGGAGATTTGAGCTAAGAGTCTGGCAAACTCATGGACGGTTAGTTA